CACACACACACACACACACACACACACACACATATTTGTCTGTGTATGTGTATATACAGTTATATACGAGGCATTCGCGTTTGCTTTCATATAAATCAAGTTAAGAATGAGTTGAGCGACCCTCTTCAAAATATTTAATACCGCAAGTGACCCCTGTCCGGTGGTGCGACCGGACCCAGACCCAGACCCGCACCCGAACCCGAGCCCGAGCTCGAGCCCGGTCAAAATATGTATGTCTGAAAAGTGGGGAGGAACCGAGTGCGGACAACATGGACGACATGGATCGCGCTGGGCTAAGCTGCAAATCGGGTTGCAGCAGCGAGCGTGGAACGAGTCAGTGGCAAAGGTTACGCGCGCGCTCCGTTCGTGCCCATCGTCAGAATGGAGATGGAAATGGGAATTGGAATTGAAATTGAAATTACGGCGACCGCGACGCCCGGCTTTCGGTCAATAGCTGTCGACGCAGGCGCAACAGCAGCAACAATTTCGAGTATGATTTATGAGCCGAGCAATTGCAGTTGATTAATCGTCGGCAAACACAATTTGATGGCAGTTAGTTGACTTACCTAGCCTGCATTGCAAATATTCACTCAATAAACACTTGAAATACATACATACACACACATACATACATATTTCATTTCATTTGAGGCAATTGCAAACATTCGCCAATCTGCACTACAATATGTAGCTCTCGCTCTCACTCCCGCTGTGCGTCAAGTGTACTACGACGTGCGTAGGCGCAACAGGAGAGAGCGAGAGCACAAGTGTGATCAGCCGATGTTGTTGCTCTTTGCTTTGCTTTCGTTTACGCTCAAGCGCTACCTGCCTAGACTACTTGTATATGTATGTACATACGTGTATGCATTTATGCATGTTGTATGTATGCGTTTTTCTATTGGCTTTGCATTTTGCACACTCTAATCGCTTGCGATCAGTGTTGACACATTGGCTACTTTCCCGGCGGGAATTGTAGCCACATTTATTATTGATGGCTTTTTTTGGAGCGTTTACAAAGGTTAGTGGCAAAAAGTGATAAGGTATTTATTTTCTGTACTCAATTGATGTAATTTAAATAAATATCAATATTCATACATCCGCATTAGCTAGCTTTAACTTTTATTGACTTCTCGAATTTGCGTTTAGCTTTTTTGACTAGGACGATCCTTGTCTAAGACCCGAAGAGCTGGCAATATTCCTGTGATCATTGTATTGTCTCAATTGACCGTTTAACATTTCGACAACATACACGTATGCCATTAAAATAAATAAATGCAATCGATAACAGTGTCTTACGATAAGCATCAGTCACTGTCGACGGCATGTCGGCACTTGTACTTATGATAATCTGACAGCTCTGCCGAGGTGTCTCTAGGTTAAAGAGAGACTTTGTAACCTTCAGTGGGCCACAGACCCAAAGCACATACACGCATACACACACAGACAAGCGAACGTCCCCTTTGTGTGTTGGGCCCAGACGCGGCAAAGATTTTCCCTTTTTTACACACATTTTTTCGCTCTTGCATATCAAATAAAAAAAAAAAAAAAAAGGCGCACAAAAATTGTGGCAAGTGCAAAGTAAAAGTGCAAGCACGTGCATTATGCAAAAACATTCATAAATACATACACAGTCGCATGTATAAGCATACATATGTACATACATGTGCATGTTAACATTAACAGTGCTGCGTGTATTTGTTTTTCTGCTGTTGCCAGAGCCTGCTCAGTAGACATTGACCTTAAAGCTGAGATACATACATACATAGTAACATGCCTGCCTATGTATGTGTGTGTGCATGCATAGATACATATGTACATGATGGCACACGCATGCATGCATGCGTATGTATGTATGTGTGTATAACAGCAATTTATATGAGTAGCGCAGCCAGCTTAGCTTGATTTTTCAGCTAGCTTCAAAATCAACAGAATATGGAATTTCCACATTATAATTGTTTAATGCTATATAACAATATCAAATGTATTTATTTACATACACATATATCCTGCTAACCGGTTTCTGATTATCGTAATATCATATCACTCACACACACACACACACGCGCGAGCCGCTTCACTAACAAGTTGATTGAAATTTTCATTATTTATTATAAAATGAATCCAGCTACTCATAGACTCAACCAGTTTTCTATCTCTTTGTTCAATCTGTAACTGGTTGAGAGCTTCAATGTCATTTTCTATTTAGCATTTTTTCGCTTTCTATCTGCCTTTGTAATGCCCCAGACGCGCCCAGAAGCATGCAACAGCTTCGCCCCAGCATAATACGTTTTGCGCCACTTGTTTTCATTGTGCCAAAAGTATGCTCCATACTTAACTAAATCAGCAAAAATATATATGTATATGTATATGTATATATAAAAAAAGTTGCAAAAAGTAAATAAAGTAAATAAAGACTCAGCGTATTGTTGGGTTGGCAGCACTGACTTCTCATACTGAATAGGGGGCGCTGGTAGTCTGGCAACGCTGGCAGCGCCGGAAGCCGGCGCCTTTGCGTGCCAGGTGTAAATGCAGCAAGTGCAAATGAGGCAAATTTCAAAGTCAAGTTTACACCACGCAGCGAATGTTTTGTGCTCCAGCACGCCCACAAGCAGCACACCGCCCTCCACCCCCACCCCTAGCAACACTCGCACTGTAAAGCTTATTTCACGCCTTTTATGAAGGCGTTCGCTATGCGCCAACGTTTCGCTCGCTAGAGTTAAAGATGCCAAGTTTCAACTGGTAAATACAGCGCCCTTCATCCAACTGATCCCACATCAGACAATATGGAATTAATAAGAGCTGCAGTATTTTGATATTATCAATTTCAAAAGGCATAAAAAAGATATTTTAATACTTAAAATAGGTACTTTTCAAGTATATTTTATACAATCGAGTTTATTTTGAAGTTTTCTTATTTTTTATTTTTATTTTATTATTACATTAACTTTATAACTTGTTTCTATATTATCAGATTTAATGTGTTTCTATTTGTGCGACGCGCACTGTACCTGGCAACCGGTAAATGCGATGCGCTTCGCGTTTTTATTTTTTCCCGTCACTGACTTTCCCACGCCTTTATTACATATTTACTCTCCCTCTCGCTCGCTCTCTCGCTCTGCCCTATTTTAAGTACATGTGTTAGACTTACGACGAAGCAAGAAAGGCAGAGGAGGAGGAGGGAGAGCCGTCACTATGTAGGTAGGTAAAAGAAAAAGAAGCAAAAACCAACAGTGCAAAAGCTGTAAAATAAAAATGCAAGAATTGTTCTAAATCTGTTGGGAAGGAGGCCGGACAAAAAAGTGAAAGTGCAGAAACAAAGAAAGCGCCAGCTGAAGAGGTTGCGAGCGCAAAGACGTTGCGAAAACAAAAGAGAGAATACAAGTAGCAGAAGAAGCTCAAGTGTGAAGACTTTCAGTCGCAAATAACTGTAAACGCCCTGGGAGAACGAGCTGACAAAATGGAATTGCCAGCATTAAGTAGAGAGCGACAATAGGAATTGTAAATTAATTTGTATGCATGTTTGTGTGTGTGTGTATGTTATGTATGTATTTGTATTTAATCTATTTAGTGCATGTGTGTGTGTGTGTGTGATGTAGAATCCCTTCCCACACTTCTGCTGGGCGCATGTGTTGCTCTTTGTAATTGACGCAAAACAAAAAGATGAAGAAGACGTCCACGACGAAGAAGAAGAAACTTTCATTTGCCTCTTTGTAATTAATTAACAGTTGCCCGTTGCACGAACAGAGCAAATCCGTAAAGAAGCATGTACATATGTATGCGTGTCTGTATGTACATATATCCTTGCCATACGCATATATGTTTATATGTATGCATGTATAAGCACTCGAGTACATAGAATATTTCCGTGTGCACATGTGTGAATGCTGTCACATGCATGCGCGAGTCCTGTGAGTCCTGCAATACATAAACGGCCGCACGTACTCACACACGGACACGCGCGCACTTGCATGTATATGCTCTCACGTACACACACACATATAGACTCACGAGCAGCCGTTACAAATCGCTTGTGTATGTGTATTTGGGAGAGTCCACAATACACGTATCGCACACACATGTACACATATTCGCGTGTGTGTGTGTGTAGGGGTGAAACGAGTTCCATGCGGATAAACATAGCACACAAACGTGGGCGTGGCCAAAATATCCCGTATGCTATGCCTGCACAATACTCCATGAACGTGCGAGTGAGACGCATGCACTCGCTTTAAATAACTCTCCCGAAAAGCGTTTGACGATTGTTTCGTATCAATGTGTGCATGTGCGTGTGTGTGTTTGTGTGCTGGTTTCTTTACTGCTTCACTGTTAAACCGCGCAATTTCAATTCAAATATTGGGTCCGGAGAAATTTTTGGAAATTGCTGATTTTTACCGCTGGCAGCAGCTTACTATCTTCCGAAAAATTCCGAGAGAGGGCGCTGCAGAAGCTAATCAAAGCTGCGATAACATACTCTATTTGTCGTTAACATTGCTAGTGACAGCTGCGCATTTTTGCGTTAACAGAATTAACGCGAATAGATAATAAAATTCAGTTACTTAAATAGATTCCTAAATCTGAAATTTTTGTCTTTAATTAAAGTGATTATTAATTTAAATAAATAGTTTCGTCACTACACCTCCTACGGATAGTTAAAGGTATTTGAATATCCAGGTAAATATGTTAACCGTATTCCAATGACGCACTGTTGCACTGTTAGTATGAAACGAGAGAGCAAATTTTGCGCAATTTATATTTGTTTGCTTAAAGCAGCGGAGCGCAGAAAACAAAGCAACCAACGCCCATTTAAGACATATATCTTAAATATAGAGAAAGCTAAATCTATTAGTCTATGACATTTATCAATTGTTTAATTGTGAATGTCTCTCATAAGCCACCTAAGTGTAGCATATTTAAATACGTGAATGCGGCGGCTTGCGCATTTTATGGCACATGTGTGTATCGCGCGACCGCCACATTTTGTCGATAACACAATCAGCAGCCGCCACCCTCGCACACACACAATCGCGCATTGATATTGACGACGACATCGTCATTCCGTTTAAATTCCTCGAAATTCTTTATTTATTTTTTGTTAAATTGGCGCGTGTTGCATTATCCAGAGCAACGAAAGCCGCCGACACAGCAAGCCTGCAACTACAGCAAACAACACAACAAACAAGTGAGTAATGCGCATCAACATAATGTACACAAACAGAAAAAAAAGAGACGAAAAAATGGAAATGGAAAAGAAACGAAGCGCCCGCTTCTCTTTGCCTTCTCGTTCGTCATTCACTTTGTTTTTGTCAGTCGCTGCCTGCATTAGTCATACACAAATTTGGAATACTCTTTTTTAGTCTAGTTGTATTTGCGTGTGAGAAGGATTCTCTTTCATATTAATGATTTCGTAGGCTTCCCAGCGTAGCTGTTGATCGATAAAATCAATGAATTAACTGAGTCTGAGCCTCGTGACGTCACTCGCAACTGACTCTGCATTGTGTCTTTGCAGCACCACTAACTAAGTGAAACAGAACCACATCCATGGCAGCTGGCACCACACTGCAGAAGGCCATCGATCTGGTGACGAAGGCCACCGAGGAGGATCGCAACAAGAACTATGCCGAGGCGCTGCGTCTCTACGAGCACGGTGTGGAATACTTTCTACACACCATCAAATGTGAGTAGACGCCCCCATTTGCTTTGGCTGCTAGCTGACGGCATTTTTGCAGATGAGGCGCAGGGCGAGAAGGCCAAGGACTCGATTCGAGCCAAATGCCTACAGTACTTGGACCGGGCTGAGAAGCTCAAGGAGTACCTGAAAAAGGGCAAGAAGAAACCGATCAAGGAGGGTGGCGAGAGCAGCTCCAAGGACGACAAGGACAAAAAGAGCGACAGCGACGACGAGGATGGCGATGATCCAGAGAAGAAGAAGCTGCAAAGTAAGCTAGAGGGCGCCATCGTCATCGAGAAGCCACACGTGCAGTGGTCTGATGTGGCTGGACTCGACGCCGCCAAGGAGGCGCTCAAAGAGGCTGTCATCTTGCCCATTAAGTTTCCGCAGCTCTTCACCGGCAAGCGCATACCCTGGAAGGGCATTCTGCTCTTCGGTCCTCCTGGCACGGGCAAATCGTATTTGGCCAAAGCAGTCGCCACCGAGGCGAATCGTTCCACATTCTTTTCCGTGTCCAGCTCCGATCTGATGTCCAAATGGCTGGGCGAGTCCGAGAAGCTGGTGAAGAATCTCTTCGAGCTGGCGCGTCAGCACAAGCCATCGATTATATTCATCGACGAGATTGACTCCATGTGCTCCGCCCGTTCAGACAACGAGAACGACAGCGTGCGTCGCATCAAGACCGAGTTTCTGGTCCAGATGCAGGGCGTGGGCAATGACACCGACGGCATCCTGGTGCTCGGGGCCACCAATATACCCTGGGTGCTGGACTCGGCCATACGCAGGCGTTTCGAGAAGCGCATCTACATTCCGTTGCCGGAAGCGCATGCGCGCCTCGTCATGTTCAAAATACACTTGGGCAATACGACGCACGTGCTGACCGAGGCGGATCTCAAGGAGCTAGCCGGCAAGACCGAGGGGTAAGCTACCACGATTATTGTGAATTCGAATAAAAACTCATGTCTCCTGCAACTGCAGCTATTCGGGTGCTGATATTTCAATCGTAGTGCGCGATGCGCTAATGGAGCCGGTGCGCAAAGTCCAAACGGCCACACACTTCAAGCGGGTCTCCGGCCCATGCCCCAGCAACAAGGAACAGATCGTTGACGATCTGCTGGTGCCCTGCTCGCCGGGCGATCCGGGTGCCGTCGAAATGAACTGGATGGATGTGCCCAGCGACAAGCTCTTCGAACCGCCCGTGACCATGGTGAGTAGCTAAACTACCGCGTCTGATCTTTAATCTTATCTTGGCTTCTGTTTTGCTGTGCAGCGCGACATGCTCAAGTCCTTGTCACGCACGAAACCCACTGTCAACGAGGAGGACTTGATAAAGCTGCGCAAATTCACCGAAGACTTCGGTCAGGAGGGCTAAGCCGATCCGCACGGAGAATACTAAAGTCCATGTCGCCATCATCATCAACAGCTAATTCTAATTGTTGCCTATTGCATAAACACGCTGAACACCCGCTCGCTCTATGGATCCACACAAACACACTCACACACATACACTATATATATGCATATATATATATTAATTTTGTTCTATACCTTTCAGTTTTTTTTTTTTTTTTTTTATCCCAAACACGATTGATATTCATATATTAATATGCCTTACTGATCGATCGTTGATTTATACGGCTAAGATTGTAATTCAAGTTTTGTGGCTTGCGACACTTTGCCCCTCACCCCTCTCTGCTGCTGGTTGTTGCAAGTAGAAGTAGACGACGAAGAAGAAGAAGAAGTAGGAGAAGAAAGAAAATTGAAGCTGATGTATTTTTATACTCTTAATGTTAAGCAAAAACCCGAAATGAAATCGAGTGTAATTTAACAAATATGTGTTACAGCATGTGTTCGCGCGCGCCCCTGTGTGTGTGTGTGTGTGTGTGGGTCTGTGTGTATGTGCGTGTCCGAGTGTTCGTGAGTCTGTTAAGTGTATGCCACAAGCGCCGCTGCCCTCATACCTGGACACCTGCCCGCCTCCTCCATCCAGCCAGCCATCCAGACGGACGAACTGACCGACAGTTGGTCAATCAACTAGTTAACCAACAACAACACCAACAAAAAGCAAGCAACCTAAATTTAAATGTAACCGATCAAAAATTCGAAAACAAATCAAAGAAATAAAAGCCTATATTGAGGTGCTTCTTGCCAGCACCACGAACACCTCAGCGTGACTCGACTGCAACATGCCCTGGCATGAGAATGAAGATAGAGAGAAAGAAAGAGAGAAAACACATTCGAATTGCTTGTCTAAATTTTAATTAAATATTGCCTTATTTTCATCTCGTCTCGGTCATACATTTTTTGTTTCTCCGTTTATGCTTAGAAATTACAAATTGTTAAATAAATATATTATGAATCTATAAGTATTTTAATCGAAATCCAAACGATTTGCCATTCGACTTCGATTTAGAATTTAAGTTGTGCCGATAACGAAGTTAATTGATTCCTTGAAGATCTGTTGAAAGGAAAATGAAGACTCGGTTTATATAAAGTGTAGAATGTAGGAATAGCATAGGATAGAGGCGGAGCTTAGCTTATAGCAATAATATCCAATCCATTCGTATAACTGTCTAATCGCACTTACTCAGTTTAAAATAATTTCCATTGAGACTTGGAAACATCTCGCCGTGGAATAGAGCATGTATGGGGTATATGTATATAGAGCTTAGGTCATGAAAATAGTAGTACGACTAAGCAATAAATGATGGATAAACAATAGAATATTTATTATAAATTACGATTTTTTTAAAACAATATTTAGTAGTTCAGGGAAAAAGTAGAAAATGGTTCCTAAAAAAGGAAAAAAAAAATACTTGAACACTAAGATCATATATTATGTTTGACACACAGTTTAACACTACTTGTAAGCGATGAGGTCCTCTCAACGCTTCAGAGGAATTTGCTGCCACACCTCCTTGTGTGTTTGAGCCTGGATTAAAATGGGAAATACAATACTTTACATATGCTCGATGCATGTTTTACTGATTATAATTGCATTTCTAGGTATATCTATATAACTTGCTCCATCTGTCTATTGAACTATTCAATAATTTATAGACAAATAAATATATAATCCCTACACTACCTATATATTGACCAAGCCCAAATGTAGACTAACTCTATGTGAGCGTTATCTGCTATAGATTCGTAATCAAAATTTATGATATCTGGGAATGATTCATCCAATTGCAAGGAAATATCATATTCAAGTGAAAAAAAAACTTTTTAATTAATCTGATTCAGCTATCAAAGTTAGCACGGAGTGTTTTATGGTTAAGAGCGAGATAGCTATATATGAAAAACCAATGCAAAATATACCTACACAAACTATGTTGGCAAGGCATACAAATCGATTCTATACCCTGTAACCCTTACGACTAGTTAAGGGCATGTTCGACTTGTGGAAATTCAAATAAGTAAATCCAGAGATGGGAGATTATGTATGGCAGAGCTGTAGTAAAAGAAGATGAAAAAGAAGCTGGGGTCATATGTCAGTCTCTCTCTACCTCCACATCCATTTGTCAAATGGGGTAGATTGATTTGCGCATAGAAAATGTTGAATTTACAATTTACAATTTGAAAAGATTTAATACTCACAAATTCATAATTCAATTCCTACAAAAGAAAGTGGAAATATTTCAAATTGCAAATTGGGCACAGGGTATCATATGGTCTATATGTTTTCGTTTTTCTTTTAGGTTGCGTGCTTGAATTTTCGATCGGGCAGCTAAGTGGGTTAAATTAGAACTTTCTGCGCGCAGCGAAGCAGCGCGTGGTCCAATCTTTAATGGAGTCAATTTCTGTCTTCGTTTTCAGCTCTGGCTGTAAATTTAGTGAGTATTTGCGCCTGTATACAAGTGGGAGCTCACCTGTTTCTCTTGCCCAAGCGGATGACACCTCTTTTAACTTAAATACCCTTGAGCGTAGGCATTACAGCTTGATTAAAAAAAATTTCTTACTTTGTATAATTTATGCTTTTTTATGATATATGAATATAATATGCTATGGAAGTCGAAATTATGCAAGGTCTGAACTCTACTGTATCTATCTAAATATAACGCAACTATATGAACTATCTTAAATGCTATAAGTCGAAGATAAAATTCTATTATAAGAAAATATTTAACAGATCTTACAAACTGATATAATAGGATTATATACAATGCTTACTATTCTATCTTATCAGAATCGGTTTCTATATTTAGAATACTTTAGAAAACATCTGTAGAAAAATGTTTCTCTTTAAGTTACCTGAGTCCGATTATTGGCATATTACTTATCTATTATTGCTCGTCACTGATTTAAAGTAAAATATCTTCAACTCTTATTGAAATGTTAGTATATCACATAGCTTATAGAAACGATGGAAACCTAAGTTCTCTTCTTTATACATATAATGAATGCATATTCCGATAAACTCTTATCATCTCATCAATATTAAATTGTATTTTTTACTAAAAATTCAGATTCAGTTTTATTATTTGCAATAAATAGAGATACAATCAAATATGTTCCTTGTCTGTGAGGGTATACAGTCTTCGCTTTAAAGAAAACTGGCTTCTGATACCCTGAAGCTTCTGAAACGGGTATATAGTTGTCATATTCAACATCTGTGCTCAACCGCATTACTACTCCCATGGACATATCAACAGACGGAGACGACTTACATACAGGTCGAGCGTCTATCCGTAGGTCTACAGCCTCTTGAATGAGCTGGAACTAGAATACTTTTAAATAAAACTTTGTTTCAATGAATTAATAATTTTTCTGTTTGCATCAATTGGGAAAAATTACAATTTAGAGTTATTAAATATAATAAGAAAAGATCTAGCTAGAATTTAATATCTATCCGTATTTCAGTTCATAATATAGTTCAAATTTTTAAAGTTTTACTGCTTTTGGCATAAATAATACCGCAGGTATTAAAGTTTTGGAAGTCCATAGAGCTGGAAGGAAAAAGTAGATTGAGTATACAATTAACATTTTTTTAAAATTCATATAGTTTGCAAGGTGGAATAAAATTAATGCAAGTCTTCTTCTTAATATATAAAATTTGTCGATTATTCTACAGTATGTATACAATACACATTATGATATATTTATAGCGCATTCACAACAGCAGCTCAGCGCATAGTTTAGGGTATCTGCAGTCGGGCTCTTTATGTTTGGTAATCCTCTTTCGGTTATACAGTGAGTATATAATATTTAAAAAATACATATAGTTTGCAAGGTGGAGTAAACTAAATGCAAATGTTATTTTCTATATGCATATATAAAATCTTGTAGAATATTCTACGGTACATAAATATATTAAGATATACATTTATATACAGTATTTATAGCATGCTCACAACAGCAGCTCAAGGCGTAGTTTAGGGTATCGGCTAGTCGGGTTTGGCGCACTCCTCCCACTTGTTGCTTTCCGTTCGTCTGCGATTGCCTTTTCGCTTTTTGCAATCGTACGTGCTGCGCCGCCACGAGTGGCCACTGGGCAGCACATGCGCGTAATTCGGACAGCGAACGCAAAAATCGAAGTCGAAGTCGAAGTCGAAACCGAAGCTGAAGCTTAAGCCGAAGCTTGGCCCAATACAGGCGACAGACAACTCGCTGCTTTGATTTGTTCGGGCCGATGGATTGGGGGCTTCGTGTGGCTTGGCTGCGCTGCGTCGTTTCAGTTGATCTTCAGCCGCGACGCCAAGCGGTTCGTGTTTTTGCAGTTCGCTTTGATTTCGCTTCATTTCGATTTCGCAGCGGTTAATTTGCAGCGGCTGCGCCTGACGCGCTGCATCTTAAGATATTTTTTGTGTCTGCCTTTTTTTTCGGTTTATGCTTTGCGCAAGTTTGAAAAAGAGTAAAGAAAAAATACAACAAATTTAACAATATTACGAGTAAAAAGTGCGTAATTGCAGTTGCTGTGTGTTTGTTTATGCTTTTTTTTCTGTGCTTTTTGTTTTTGTTTTAATTTTGTTTTGCTTGCATTTTTGGCTGCGACTACGGCGGGCGACGGCGGCGGCGATTGCGGCTTCCAGCTTTGGCTTTGGCAAGCCCTTTTTGGTACCTTTGTCTTTCAATTGTCTGTCTTTGTGTGTATTGTTGTTGTTGTTGTTGCGAAGCGCAACTTTCACGCGCTTCGAGTGAAACTGTAAATCGAGCCCGGACCCCAAAGCAGAAGCAGCAACAGCAACGGCAACAGCAGAAGCAGAAGCAGCAGCCACAGCCACAGCCAACCCCGACGCCGACGCCGACGCCGCCGCCGCCGCCGTTGCCTCGTCTCATGTCGTTTTGGCATCTGTTGCTTATCACAAATTACAATAGCAAGAAGAAGAAAAACTGAACTTCCATTTGTTGTTATTCATATATTATAGCTTAAACAGCATTTTGGTGCCTCTAGTATTTTAATTACATTTTTTATGGCTAATTTATGTTTTTTATTTATTTTTTTTTTTCATTTCATTTCGTGCACCTGCCGTTCAAGTTTGTCGCTTAAGTCTTTTGCTCACTGCAGCAGTTGCTCTCCGATATTGATATTATGCATATTTGTTGTTGTCGTGGCTGTGGCTTGAAACTAGTTTGCTGACAGCCTGCAGCCTGCAGCATGCAGTCAGCAACAACATCAACAACAACATTAAATATTTTTAACAAATTAATATAACTAATAATAAGAAAATGAAAAAAAAAAAAAAAAAAAATCATGCTGACATTGACACGAATTGCAGAGCGAGCAACCAAAGAGACAAAAAGCAGCAGCCAATTCATGGCTTAAAGTCTAAATCAACCAAAGTGCAAACACACAAAATAAACTAAAAACTAGTAGCAGCTTTTCTCTCAGTGTGCTCAACGAACAGTTACCCTGTTCTATATGAAAAATTAGCTAGAGTTTCATATGAAACTCTTTTCAGATACATGATATATATATTTAAGTATACCCTTAACTAATATGTATAATAGATCGAATAGAGGTTATCTGTATATTGAAGAATAGATCTACCGTTATATAAAAACTTGTTTCAGCTACATCTCTAGCTAGAGTTTGATTATGCCTGCTTACAGGGTATTTAGCTATGCATGCATGCCTTTATTTTTATAAAATTGTTTTCAATTAAAGTGCATAAATTCCTTCATTGCCACTCACAAAAGAAGAAGAAGAAAAACAAAATTTTATGTTTAGTTAAACTCATTATTGTTGTTGTCGCTTTTGGAATAACACGACTTAACATCATTTTCGTGCTGTAAACTGCCAATGATTGAGACTTTATGTTGTTAATGTGGGCTTTGTTGTTGTTGCTGTGGCTGTGACTGTTGACATAAGCAAGGTCGTCAGTCAATTGGGCGCAACAAGCACTGGAAAAATCACTCACACAAAATTTTCAAACTATTTTATTTTCACTTGAAAATTGCCTCGTTAATGCATGAATTTAACGAGAATTACAAGGCTCAAGCATTGGAACTAAGGAAATTCAAATGGTAATTCCTTATTTTGTATACCCACATATCGTATTAAATTGTTCAACAAAATATTATGCAATTTACCAAAGAAATAAGTTTTAACAAATATAAGACTTGTAATCTGGGTAAATCTGTTAGAATCGACAAGTTCTGATATATAATCATATTATAGAAGCTTAAATTAGATCATTAAGGCAGAGCACATAGGATTTCTAGTGACAAATCTTTAATATAATATTTGGAAATCTTAAAACTCAATCTATCCTTATTCTAGAGAGATGTCTTAAAGATATATACATACTTAAGGTATGGACCTCTAGACAAGTATCTTAAAGATATATGAAAAGCCTAAGGGTCTATCAAGTTCCATATTCTACAAAGCGTGATCAAATCTCCATTTTAATTATTATTAATACAAATCTATTAGTTAAAAAGGATGGTAGGAATATCTTAATGATATTTGGAAAAATAAAAGTTGATAAGTTAAAAGTTTTAGAGAGGTAACCTAATGATATTTTGCTAGCTTTATTACTTCAGATCTAAAAATATTTCAAGAAGAGCGGAGCTCCAAAAAAGTATTTTAATAAAATTTTGAAAGATAGATATATCCCATTGATATTTGAATAGCTTGATCAGTTCATGTCTATACTTCATATAAGGAAGTATAAAATTCTAGAGAGGTACCCTAATGGTATTTTGCTAAATTCAATTCGTATCTATAGTTCATATTGAATACGATCATATCTGTAATGAAATTCTATATTTTAGTAAGTATATATTATATATCAGGGAAGTAGCTGAATGATATTCGATCGCCTTAGATCTTTTTCTTAAACATCTAATAAATTGATATTAGAGGCCATTGTAATACCGAATTCACCTAGATATGCGAAGAAACTAGAACGTATTTATTTAATCATTCACTAATGGCCGACATTAATTCTTATATCTATAGCATTTATCATTTTTCTTCCAGTTCCATTTTGTATGCTTAACTTTTACTTCCTTAATCGCTTGAGAATTATTTTGAAAACTTCTTCAGCTCAAACATCCGCTTTGGATTTTTGCTTTCTTCTAGTTTCCTCTGTTTCCCTTAAGCTTTCTATGAAATGTTTTTTTTTTTTTTTTCTTCTTCTTCTTTTTAAATGAACTGAACAATTATTTTGCATTATACAATTATATAAATAAATATATACAAAAATATACATGATTGTTCTAATGATCTGTAATGGGAGACTGAGATTGAGTATTGGGGTCGGTGGGGCAAGTGGTTAGACGGTGTCAACACGTTATCAGCCGTGGTTTATCTTACGCTTAGGCAACCAGAGACAGCGCAACGCAACGCAACATGAGACAATGCGATGTGTAATTGGATGAATCTAAGCTAACATGTTGAGTACATGTTGAATTGGGTCATGAGAACACGAAAGCTGAAATGCTCTTGCAAATGTTTGTCAAGTCATCAACTGAGTTGATCTCCAGGCGAGTACCAGCTACCGGCTTAGCTCCCGAGCTGTGAAATGTTGTCTCAAGATCTGTGAGGAAAAGCTAGCTAGACATAAAAAATCTATTTTGATAGCCAAATTTATATAGTAAGAATAATGCTTTTATTGCATTGAATCCTGATTAATTACAATTGGAATACAAATTAATTTATTTAATTGTTAAGAGTCTCAAATACACACATTATTGTGGGTATATGATCTTATGATATACACTATAGTTATTCTCATATAAATAGAAGCACTCAAAAGAGTCCATTCCTTGCTTGGAATAGATTGCCACTATGAAATAATCTTGTTAAGAAAATAATGGAATTTATTTCATTGGAAAGGAACATTTAAAGAAATAATACTAAATGGCTGTATGTAGTGGGTTATACATGCAAGTATATTGATTATATATAGTTATATTTAGCTGACGGAAATTGATTGAAATGCAATATTTTTTATTCTAGTGATGAAGAGAAGTATCGAAGCGCTTCTATTTTGTGAACACAGCTGTTCGCATGGATTACTCGGCTGGCAGTCGCATGTCAGCCCACGCTTTCTTGTTGCCCACTTGACCTGTTCTCAGTTCTTTGATCTCTTGCATCTCTCTCGCTCTCCTCTCTCCTCCTCTCTTTTGCTCTTGGAGTGCTCTGGGCCAGAGCCCAGCATTTCGGGCAGCAAATGGGCCACGACTGTTTGGAGGCCTGTGCAGCCTCACTTATGTGGGCCCCCAGCCTAAAAATAATAAAAAAAAGTGTGTCGTTTGCCATTGCTGCTGTAATTGTTATAGCCATTGCTGTTGTTGTTGTTGTCGTCATATTGCATTTTACCGTTGGCTGGGTTTTACACAGCCAACAACGTTTGATTTATGGCGCATTGTCTTTTGGGCTAACTTTACTTCTTCGACTGCTTCTTCTTCTTGTACTTCTTCTTCTTCTTGGTTGCACGCGTTGCATGCTCAATAAGCGTTGTGGAAATTCTCGTGAAAAACGCCAAAGCAGCGACAACAATAACTAATATTAGAAGCACCTAATTGTATAGAGCAAAAAGAGTTAACAACAACAAAAGCAACAACAACAACAGCAACTAATATAACGGGCGGAAACTTCATGCGCTGCTGATTTTTTGTTGTTGTTGCTGGCCAGCGCTCGTTGACTGCCTCCCTTTAATCTACTAATTTTTTCGTTTACTTTTTTTTTTTTTTTTTGTATTTTTTGCTGGCCCCTCGTAACAAACAGGAAACTATTTAGGCGACTTGCTGCTGCTGCTGCTGCTGCGGCTGTCATGCGAAAATTGGCTAAGGAAATTTGAACATTTTTCGTATATTTTTTTTGGCTGCGCGACTGCAAGTTCGTTGCCTAAGTCTTTCGTATTGCAAGCGATTGCTGCCATTTAAATGGCACACGCACACATACACACACGCACGCACACTTGGCTAGATAAATCAATCAAAAACGATTGCCCAAAACTTGGACACAAAGCTGAAGCATTGTTTTCCGATTCGCCATATAAATTGGTCAAGAAGGTGTATCAAATGGTTGAGTAAATCTTGCCAAATCGGCAGCTGGTGTTGATTTGCAAGCTTTATTAGCAATATCTATGAGCTGGATATATACATGATATATGTATATACTAGTTTTCTAAGTTTCCCAATTCTGTTCGTGAGTGCCTCCTACTGTTCCAGTGGTTTCTGTGTGCAGCTGAGAGCTTGTCCGACTGCAAGCCTCTCATAGATAGCGATTGCCTAGCGTAGTCCATTTGTACAGGGGCTCGTTGTGATTGCCTGTTTACGACGAGAAGACGTCTGGAAATGGGCATTACACAAAAACACATTGTGAAATAGCACACACTGCTTGAAATCGTTGCGAGACGGTGTTGTAAAAGCATTAAATTAGAATGAAAGCCGACCAAATTGATGTGAAGCAAATTTATATATATTCTGTATATTTCTATATATAAATCTGTAACATAAAGACAAGTCTTCATTAATGTCAAGTTATTTGCTAGATATCGATTATTAATCAACTGCTCAAGCCTCTACATCTGCGCTGGTAGTTAAGCCTCTCTCTGCATGTCGCTAACGGTAATATAATTTGATATATGTATATACTATATTCTATATTTTACAGCTTAAAAATACAGTATCTGTAGATGATTTATGGGGCTAGTTCACTTGCTACATTTTTGGCATTCCAAAAGCTTTAAAACTGCATAATATAATTTCCGATCAGCCAAGCCCCCAGTGGGCGTATTCCAAATATTGGACAGACACGAGTAAATATGTACACACACAAGTAAGCTCAGCGCCCCCCTTTGCCACTGCCTTGGCATTTCGAGTTGCAGAGTCCAAATCGGCTTGGTATTCAGTGGAATTCAGTTGCTGATACAATATTCAATATTTAAGTAACTGTTTGGCGTTCAGTCTGACTGAAAACTAACTTGATTCAAGTTATATAACATGCCTGTTCGTGTAAACTTGAATAGCATATCAAATGCTTTACATTTATGTGAATAAACCGAAAGACATTGAACAAAGACGAATAAACATTTGCACTTGACTAATGAGTATAATGATATGTGTAAACATATATAACATTGGACTGTTAATATGATGTTATAATACTTTCCTTATATACATAAAAGGGCGATTGAGAATGGGACTTGAAAAACCAGCTTACAATAGGTATTTAGCAGCATTTGGTGTTTGGTAACCTCAAGACCAATCTTGTTTTTCATTCAGGTATCTGAAATCATCGACTATAAGCTTTTACTGAACAGCTGCGTATCTCCCTACACCTCTTTCTCTCTCTCTCTCCCTCTCTCTTTCTCTCCTTCATACTATCACTTGAACCTCTCTCAGCGATTCGCTTACAAATCTTGTTAAGTTTGTGGAGTCTGTTTCCGTGATTCATTCTTACAAAAGCTTTAAGGAAATTGTTAATTGATTTTTACGTATAAGAAGTGAAATCATATATCATATCATATCTCTAGATCATAACTCTTCAAAGCAACTTGCGACTTTCTAACGCTCAAATAGGATTTATAAATATGACAACAACGTTCGAGTGCCTTGAATTTCAATTTTAAAATGCTTTTCTTTCACAACTAGGAGGAGCTCAGGGAAAGCGAGCGTCGCTTACAAGACCTACTTTAAATGCTACTCTGATAAATATAGTAGATATCTTTAATGATATATGATGGTGCTTAAGTTGAAAAGTGCTACGAAATTATTAAAAGATTTCATTGGTATTTTAGTATTTAGTATTTTAGATCGAGATCGTTGGATGCTGTAATTGAAAAATATCTATGGTATATTTAAGTCGAAGGCGCTTCATTCCTATTAATGATTACTAAATAAATAAATATGGTATACTTATTTCGTTGAGGTCGTTTTCAAATTATTTTTGGCATGATTTCATAGCTTAGCTTTTACTATTTCATTTGTAGTTAAACAGTTTTCGATTATCTATGTGAATTACATATATGTATATATATAAAATATTGCTCAACTAGAATTTTCATTTCTTGGCATTGCACTTTTCTCCTGGCATGGCTCGATTAGCGTCATCAGTTTTGTTTTCTCTTTGAGAATGGACGAGCTGCTCAGTTCTGTACGAGCGATATATATATATATATATATATATGTATATGTTTATATATGTAGAAGCAGAATTGTATTTAATGAGCAGAATTAGTCGCAAACGCGAAAATGAGTGGAGGCAAGTGGCAAATGGCAATTGGCAGCTGGCAGCTGGCAGTGCTTGAAAGCGGACGCGGCACCCAAATTGGGTTAATCTCCATTTGAAAGTGACTGATGAGTGAACTAACTGACAGACAGATAGACGGACAGAGGTTGAAACAGACATCTTAAGTAGAAGTCGTGCGAAAGCGGCTTTAGAAGCATTATAGTCAGATACTTTCCATTTTGCCCATTCGTCTTGTCTGTGGCTTTAGCTTTCCCAGCGCGACAAATGCATTGATCTCTGTCTCTTTCTCCCACTCTCTCAGTTTCTCTTCATCCCTTTAGCCGTGCTCTTAACGCTTCGTTAGTGCCGCCTTTCCACAACGTCTTGTGGGTGGCCACAAGTGTTGCCATTGATTGATGGATCCGTCGAACATTTTCAATTGTCTTCACTGTGAATGAACCGCAAAAGCTTCGGAAACCGTACAACTCTGCCTAGCTAGCGTGTCTTAGCAGTCTTACAATATTTTATAAGACTAAAGTCGGTTTTATTCCATTATTATTGTCTAGGCTGACAAGCTATTAACATTTTATGAATAACATTTTATTAACAATAATGTTAAGAGCTATTTTATATCAACTTTGGCTTGTTAATGGCCCGGAAATGCACTGCTTGATATTTGAACTGGTTTTGAATGTTTTACTAATGTATTAACAGCTAACAGCTATGTTATGTCACTGTTAGGAGTTGAAAACTATAGTAAATGAAGGAACTTAGCTTGAGCTTGTTAATTTTTGGACTGAAGTCTCCTTTAGACTCCCCCGTATGCTAGCGGTACCAGTTAACATTAGAGCATGTTAACAAGAGAATGTTAACTTTACTCTAACATATTGTGTGCTATGCATGTTATTTAAATCTAGCTCATAAAATCTATCTCATAAAATCTATCCACCCAAAAGAAGAACTGGTTCGTTCTACAGACCTGAATGGAACTTTGAACTAAATGTATATATTGAAGTTAATAAAGAGTTTTGTTACACTTAATCTTCAGGCTAAGCTGAAGAATCTAAGCTGACTATAAAAGAAGTAGTTACTCGTAAGATACTGTCGTTGATCAGTCGCAGAGCAGCGAAGTGGTTCGTTCCTACTTTTTGCTATCTTATCAGTGACCTTTGCTCCCTCACTTTTCGTCTATGTCATCTACAATATAATACATACATTTTTAAAACTTATAATGTACAGACATTGTACTCAAGTCTTTTTTTTTTACAAAAGAAAAACAAACGTCACTAGGTAAACTCAAGTTCATAGCATTTGAGCTGTAAATAAAGTTAGTAAACGCGATGCTTATTTGCCTGAGTGTGACAACGGTTGTGGGGCTTGCCTAATGTTTCGACATGGATGCTAATTGATAAGTCACAGCGCCAATGAAAGTGAAGCGCCGTCAATACATCAATAAATCTATCAAAATACAGTTTTCAATGTTGCTGCTCCCAATATTCCGGCTCGGCGTTAAAATCATCTGCGGCTGCTGCTCTTTACGACTCTCCAAAGATTTTCACTTTCGTTAGATGGCACCCAGTTTCAGTCACAGTCTCCAGCACAGCATAGTTGACTCATGTCAAGTTTCTTCTTTGAAAATTAGCTATAGAAAAAAAAAAAACCAACAGCAAATAAAAAAAAAAAAAAAAAAAAAATGAATATAAAAAACTTGATGACAAGAGTTGATTTTCTGAGGTGTTTTTTTTTTAACCTGTTGTTGTTGTATTTTTTTTTATGTTTTGACTGCCGTCTGCTGTTGACCCAAATGTGCACATTCAACTTCCAATGTTTAACGTTTAACACACTGAATTACACTGTGCAACAAAATATTGATATATCATTGTCAAAACAAAGATATGAAATGATGAAGGGTAATTTAAGTTTAGTAAATTATAAGCTGTATTTTAATAACCCTATAATATTGTTTTCTTATTGTTTCATGATGGATAAGTCCTCTTAAACAAAAAATTGAGGTTTTCAGAATTGATTTATGTACAGAACATTTTAAAATTTGGAATGAATGAATTTTGGAACGGATGCAACTCTGAGTTATATGAGGTTTCAAGAGATATTTATTGTAATTAGATATACTTTTATTTGTACATCTTCAATTAGTAAGTTATTTTGGTGCCAAGTATTTATGATATTGTTAAAAACTGTGCAATGCGACTCAACTAAACTAGAAGTGTTGCTACATCTTGGCGGTTACCTGGAGAGTTTAATAGTTAAATTGAAATGTAGTGTAATTATAATAGAAATATGACTTGGAGCTACAATTTGGACTAGAAGCTGTTCTACGTAAACATATTAACCTAAAAAGTTTTCAAATGTGCTGAGATTATCATCATCAAAGAGACCCAGAAACTTAAGCTCCACAACGGAGAGAGAGAGAGAGAGAGAGAACGTGTGTGAGAGAGTGTCAGAGAAAGAGAGGGAGAGAAAGAGACAACGTAGATAAAAGGATAGAGAGAAAGACAAAAGTTTAGGAATATAGATATAGGTTATGAAAGATAGAGAGAGGGTGTGAAACACAGAGAGAGAGAGAGAGAGAGAGAGAGAGAGAGAGAGAGAAAGAGAGAAAGAGAGAGTGATAATGAGACAGTAATAAAGCAAGAGTTTTTACCTTATATATGTATATGTTCTCTTGTAGCAGAGTGTAAGATCTGTGTGTGCGTGTGCCTGCGCTTGTTAGCAATGTTTGGCTTATATATAGTTACTTTTATTGTTTGTTTAGCTGCTGTTGTTGTTGTTGCTGTTGTTGCCGTTAGTGTCACTTGGTTAGCTGGAGAATCAGTGAAGCTAAAGTCAATAAGGTCGTTGGCCCAAAACGCTTAACGCACATCCTGTCAACGAACCGGCTTATTATACAATATGCAGACAGCCAGACGACGAGAGCAACAACAACAACAACAACAACAAAAACAACAACAACAAAAACAACAACAACAGCATCACTTATTTAGCTAAACATGCAATTGATAATTGTTGTTGCTTCCTGTAATTGCAGGCCACACAAAGCAAAGCTCATAAACAATCAATCAACGGCAATCAGCATCAATCACAGCGTGAGCAACTGTCGCAAATTGGAGCTGCTGCTGTTGGTCAAGTGAAAGCTGCGACGACAACAGCAACTGTTGGTGCTGTCGCATGCTGTTGCTGCTATTGCCGCTGCGTCTGCCACATAATTCAATCAAACAGCAGAGTCAACGCCATCGCCATCGCCACCGACGCCCCAGACACGGTTCATAGAGCGGGCACGCACGTCAACCCCCCGCCAACCATCCCCCGCCAGCAACAATCCGCAACAACATTGGCAACATCGGCAACATCTGCAACGGCTGCTCAGTCAGTCAGTCAGTGAGTCAGAGAGACGCAGACGTCGCTGCAGACGCCATTGGCCGTGGCCAGGAACCAGTCGCCAGCGCGACCAGCAACCAGTCACGACCGCAGCAACAGTTGCTGCTGCGACTGCCACAGGTTCACAAATAAGTGAAAGTGAATTTGTTTACGGTGTATTGCTATTACCAAAGCGAAAGAGACATAACACCGAAATAAAAACATAAGCCCCAGCCAAGCAGAAGAAGAAGCGCCAGCAGCCGAAATCGTAGACCAACACAATAGCAACGCGAGCAATGCAATTGTAGTTGGACTGAGCGATATAAAAACCAAACAGCAACACAAAGCTAGGGAAAGAGAACGAGTAAGAGAGGGAGAGAGAGAGGGTGAGAGAGAGGCAGAGCGAGCTGGCATCTAGAGCTCTCAATGCTAATTGACACTGTGCGCGCGTTATTGGATAATCTTTAGCGACAGCAACAATTGCAACTACAACGACAACAACAACAACATGCAACACATTTGCCTAGCGCTGTCGCTGCTGCTGCTGCTTGACACTGGAACTGGTGGTAAGTAGAAACCAGATCAATTAACTAATTGAACCAGACACACACACGCACACACCAACACACACACGCACACACGCACACGCATAGCTCTTCTGCTAATTGATTTATTGTGTGCTAAATTGAATTTGCCTTCATGGAGGCTGCTTTCAGTTTTTCAACTTATCTCGCGTGTGTAGGCGGCACGCCCACCTTCCTTCCCCCTGGCCACTGAAGGCCAGCGGGCGAGCTTTTTGGGTGGAGTGCGCATCTAGTGCCTCTCTCTGTGGGTGTCTTTCGACTCGTTTGGCCCCCGACGAGTTTCACTTGACGATTTTTGCCATTGAGCGACGCGCAAAACACTTCACAGATTGCACAATCGCCATAAACACCGCACACTTACACTTACACTCGCACGCTCTTACACTCACACACACTCATGTAGCACTCACACACTCGCATTCACAGAGTGTGCACACATGTAATCGGAAACAGTCAACAAGACGAAGAAGCGATTGCAATGCCAAAAACTGACAAAACTTTAAATGGCAAATGAAAACAAATCGAAAAAAAAAACAACGAAAGTCACAAAGCGCACCAAAAAACAATATATATACATCGTTTACAGACACAATATATATATATCTATATTCACCTAAACACTATAAACATACATATGTTATATAGATGAATATGTGTACATTGATATAAATACGTTGATGAATGAATTTCATTGGATCTTTGAAACTAATTTTATTAATACTTAAAATTAACGGTAAATTTCCTGCCTGCACCTTTGTCTGCATCCAGTATTTCTATTCGAAGCCAAATGTCCATTTCCATTTTTCCATTCCTAACCCTTAATAACATATAAACCATATTTGCTATACCTATGCATATTTCTATACCTATACCTATAGTTATTCTTTCTTATATTAGTCCATATCCCAATTTGTATCTTAATCTCTATTCCAATCAGTATCGTATCTATCGCATTCTCTATCCCATTTCGCACCCTCTGTCCTTTTATCTATCTCAATTCCATTCCCAATCACTGCCTCAATATCTCACTCCATTGTTATCCTTATCCCTATATTACTCTATATGACTCTTACTCCAAATCATAATCCAACTTCTTATTCCTATTCCTATAACTATCCCAGTCCGTAGTCCAGTCGCTATCGCTATCTTTATCCTTGTTCCTATCCATAAACCTATCTCTAGCCCTATTTAAGTTACATTATCAATCGAAATTCCACTTACTTTTGCTATTCAAATTTCACATTCTATTGATCTCTATATATAACTATACACGTTTCTATTCATAAGACCATTTTCGCTATGTATACCACTAATGAGATAGAGCTATCTTTGTCGCTATCCTCTTAATACTACTAATAATCCTATTATTGCCTTTATCTCTTCATATATCTATCTCCATCTATTACTCTCTCCTTCATCACCTGTTTTCATCTTTTCGTTCTTACCTCAATTTCCATCTGCATTACTATCTCCATCTTTAGCTATATGTATCTCTCTACTCTATCTCCATTTCCCCCTCCACTGTCGTCTATATTTCTCTCTCTATTCCTACTTCCAGCACTACTTCTTTTCTCAGCTTTTCCAAAGATTATTTTTCGTAATTGCTTTTTGCGCCGGGCCATAAGTTCCGCTTGTAAGTGCGCGAAATGTTTCAACGATTATTTTAAAGCATCTGTCGCATGGGACATGAGCGTAAAGTGCTTTGCCATTGTCGCTAAAAACTTGGATGCATTTGGTTGCATAAGTGCTACAAGTCGCGTTTAGCTGATTGATGAAGTGGGCTTGGCGCTAATGTGGCTCAACGGGTGCATTAGCCATAGACTTGTCATCTGTTAGTCATACATATGATATGAATACATATGTATATGTATTCGTATTGAATACAATCTAATCTGGTCTCTAGTCTAGTCTAGTCTCAAAAGATTCTACCCTCTCTGCAAATCTAAGCTTTGCTCATTCGATCTCTTCCTGATTGCTAAGTTTGGAAACATTTTGGCACTCCATCATTTTGAGATTCTCGATCGTCTGGCCCATTACCAGATGACTATCATATGCATATTTATTGCCATTTGGCAACGCGTGTGGCATGAGTCGTGGCGTGGACAGTTTTATTTTTGTTTTGATTTGTAGCTCCTCTTAGACGCTTCTCCCTTTTGGTTTCCAGGCGCTTTAAAACGCAATCACGCTTCGGTAATTTCAGCTAACGTCCATATACATACACCTATGTGACTCTATACATATACATAGGTATTTTGGCTGACTTGTGCTGGGGTTATGTCATCTGCACGTTCCCAATTATGGCGTAGTGTCTGAAAACGAAATATGGAAAAAAATTTTCACGTCTGCCATTAAAGAAATTCCAAAAAGTTTTTTGTTTTTATTTTTTTTCTCATTATTTTTATTAATTTTTTTTAATAGGTTTTGACAAAACGCAATTACAGATCTCCCATTTCAATTTGAAAGCTGTAGATAATAAATTTTTTAAATGTGCTTAGACTTATTAAGTACGAGTATAATTTAATGCGCATTAAACCTAAAAACATAATTTTAGTTATTTATTTATGTACATAATTTGCTTACTTACTAAATATTTGCCTCAAGAATAATGCAGTTATAAGAAGAAGTACAAACAAGTTTCCTCCTCTATATTTCTAAATCAACGTAAGATGGGCTCTATATCTAGAGATACAAACGGGAACAATAGCTACCTCTATCTTTCACTCTACAAGTGGACTCTTGATCTTCTCCTCAGATAGACTTATATTTATAACTTAATATCGAAGATATTTCTTACAAATGTTTAGCTAAGTTGATTAAGTTCGGAACAAGCCTTAGGAATAGGGAACCCGTGGGTCGAGCGCATTTACTTCCCAGTTAATCGATAGAGCTCATTATTTTCCATATATTGTGATTTTATGGCTGTTTATATTTTCTGCGTATTGTGAATGATTTTTTTGGACGCACGTGCGCAGAATGCAAACTCTTCTAATTAAGAACCTTTACAAGTGATTCATAAGCAATTCAAAATTCGATGAATGCAGAAACTCGATTAATCATATGTTTGTCTGTTTGCAGCGGCCACGCCCACACCAATGACTTATGCAAACTTTACGGAGCTCTCGGAGGCGGTGCACGCCTCCTTGCTGGCGCACGAACGGCAGCAACAGCAGCGCCAATCGCTGCATGGCCGCGCCAAGCGGGCGGTGAAGCGCGTTTGCTACGGTGAGCTGGGCTGTTTTGAGGACTCTGGCCCATTTGCCTACCTGGAGATGCTGCCCTCGTCGCCGGAGGAGATAAACACCAAGTTCTATTTCTACTCGACGCGCCAGCGCTCGGATCGACCGCTCATGGAGTTGTCCTTCTTGAACATGACGGCGGCGTTTGCCAAGGCGAAGGCCAAGCGCGAGTCCGACAGTCCGCCAGCTCCAACGGTCACCACGAGTGCCCCAGCGGGCACAGCCTCGATGTCTGGCCTCAACACGAGCACAGAGAAGCCGCCCGGCATGGGTGGCAGCCCGAAGAAGCCGCCGCAGCCTTCCATCGACGACCTCGAGGGCTTCGATGAGCTCTCCGTGCGCGTAATTGTCCATGGCTTCGGATCGGCCTGTCCCCACGTCTGGATCTACGAAATGAAAACGGCACTGATGGCTGTGGTGAGTCGGGATCGTAACTAAATTAAGGAGGAAATCGAGAGCTCCATGTTCAAAGCTCGGAGAATTTAGTTTGCTATCCTGTCATCCGGTTAGCGTCTATCCGTCCGTGTGTACGTCCGTCTGTCCGTCCATTCGGCTGTCCGTCCGTCTGTCTGTAATCCGCAATGTAATATGTTAAATCTATGAGTGGAATATGTACCACATATGTATTTGGAATATATGTACATATACTAGAATACAGTAGAATTCGATTATAATGACGCTTAAGAGACCGTCGTTATACCCAGAATGCACTGTAACCATATATAATAGAATTTTCGTAGCACACAGACGCTATAAGCAGAGTCGTTATAACCGGTCTCTACTATATTATGATATTCCCTATACGCCCAATCGGGCGGTATACTAGAAATGATATTATTTGAGCTGCGAGAGATTTGAAATTTGGCATATAACTTGTGTTGCGAAGGGAAGAAACATAATATACAATAGGTATATTCCCATAAAGGGCATGTAACATGGGGTAAATCTGTATCTTCCACGTTTATGGAAGAGTTCCAAATTAAAATAGTTTTGTTATTGCAGTACCCATCCCGACACTGACTTGGTTAATCAAGATAATTCCATTCGCTTTCTTTTCTGTCTATATTCCTTTATATTAATTGCCTTTCAAAGTGATTCTCATACCGCTTTAGAGTATTCTACATTCGTTTTCCTCTTCTTATTATTTTCTAATAACCGTCTTTCAATGCAATTCTCATAAAATTTAATGGTACTTTCTCTATAATACTCTATCAATTGATACGTCCAATCCGGAATCTGGGATACGCCGATTTTAGCTCACATATCCAACAGTTATATTAATATCTATCACTCAACTCAAATCTCTTTGTGCAACTATGAACAGGAGGATTGCATTGTTATTTGCGTAGACTGGGAGAACGGAGCCACCTTTCCGAATTACGTGCGTGCCGCGGCGAACACGCGTCTGGTGGGCAAGCAGTTGGCGATGCTGCTCCGGAATCTGCAGCAGCACAAGGGCCTCAATCTGATGCGCACGCATGTGATTGGCTTTAGCCTTGGGGCGCATGTCTCCGGTTTTGCGGGCGCCGAGCTGCCCGGCCTGTCGCGCATTACGGGCCTCGATCCGGCTGGGCCGCTGTTCGAGGCGCAGCATCCGAAGGTTCGGCTGGACAGCAGCGATGCCGAGTTCGTCGACGTTATCCACTCGAATGGCGAGAATCTTATATTGGGCGGCTTGGGCTCCTGGCAGCCCATGGGCCACGTGGACTACTATCCGAACGGAGGGCGGGTGCAGACGGGCTGCTCCAATCTGTTTGTAGGCGCGGTCACGGACTTCATTTGGTGTAAGCTGCTCTCTTCATTCATTCGAGTCATTCGAGTTTAGCTCAACTTCCCTCTCACTTACAGCTGCCCAGGCGGCCGAGGACGAGGAGGGGCGCTCGCTCTGTAATCATCGTCGCGCCTATAAGTTCTTCATCGACTCCGTGGCACCACGTTGCATGTTTCCCGCCTTTCCCTGCGCCAACTACGACGACTTTCTGAAGGGCAAGTGCTTCCCGTGCGCCCAGGACGATGAGGATCTGGCCGAGGGCGTGCCACGCTGCGGCAACATGGGCTACTATGCGGACAGATCGACGGGCCGCGGCCAGCTCTATCTGCTGACACGCGAGGAGGAGCCCTTCTGCGCGCATCAGTTCCAGCTGCAGATCTTTAACTCGTTCAACGATCTGCCCCTGCGCACGATTGGCCGCCTGGAGGCCATACTCGAGGGCGATGGCGGCCTCAACGAGACTTTCGAAATATCCGAGTGAGTATCAGCTGTGCCTCTACGGCTCTGATCATATTTGGTAAGCAATACTAAATCCTTGCACTTGCAGGAAGGACGATGCCGAGTTCTTTGCCGGCGACATTGTATCCAAGATAATTGTGCCGCATCCGGCGCTGGGCTTCCCCACCACGTTGAGCCTGCACTACAAGTCCTACAGCGGCTGGCTGTCGAAGGGCTTGCCCCACTGGGACATTGACAAGGTGGTGCTGACGGATAGCTTCGGGCGCAGCCACTCGCTGTGCAGCCCCAGCACCAAGCTGAGCAGCGGCAGTCCCGTGCGCATGCGCCTCCAGGCGGGCAACTGTGAGCTGGACAACCAGGAGGACTATGGCGCCTATACCACCACCCAGCCGCCGGCCGCGTTGTCGGCCAGCACGGACGCGCCCGTGGCTGACTCCAGTGTGCAGGAAACGGGTCTGAGTGCCAGCGTTGACGGTGTCGAGAGCGTCAAGCAGCGCAAGGACATCTTCAACCTGGGTACCAGCTTCAAGCTGGCCGAGAATCAGACCTACCCGCTGGACCAGACCGATGAGCTGCCCTGGCAGCCCATACTCGTGGGCAATTCCCTGGACAAGGACAACAATGAGGCCGAGGCAGCCGAGTCGAGTCGCAGTCTGTCCGACGCCCTGTCGCCCGGTCAGCAGCCCGCCGCTGAGATTTTCGAGCCCGTACTCAAGGACCGACGTCTGGCCGTGAACCGTGGCCGCAACCTGCATGAGCTACACGCCAGCGCCGGGGAGATTGTCGAGCCGGTGCTCAAGGCCACCACGCCGCGCACCAAGCACGGCAAGGACCTGCAGCTGACTGAGCCCGAGGATAGCAATGCCACAGCCAGCTCGACGGACAGTCCCATCAGTCCAGCGAGTTCGGCCAATCCAGCCGTGGCCACGGTACCCAAAATGATGGCTCAGCTGTCGAGCGGCTCCGATGAGCCGCAAATGGTGCAGCTGCTGCCCTTCCGGCTAGGCGAACTGCTGCAACGGGCCGAGCGCTACGCCCGGGAGACGCTGTTGCCGCTCATCTCAGTGCAGGCGCCGCGATTCTTCGGCTTCAATGTGACGCCGCACGAGCGAGTCGGCGAGTCCCGCAAGCCTCGCTATATACCGCGCTACGAGGAGTCCGCTTTCATCAACAGCAGCAGCAGTAGCAGCAGCAGCAGCAGCGGCAGTAGGCAGCAGCGCCGCCGCTCCGACTCCACCGAGTCCACAGACCAAGCGGCACGCCGCAATCTATTCCGGCTGCTGCGCTCCGATGCAGCGCGTGGTCGTGCCGCCCAGCAGCCCATCACGGCCGCCGCACCAGTGACTAGCAGCGAGACGCAGCAGAGGGACTTCAACTACTACACGAATATGCTGCACTCAGAGTCCCGTTCCATGCGGCCCGAGGCGCCCGAGTATCGTCCCGTTTTCATTGAGCTGCCCACGTACCGGCCGCCAGTGGGCGGCAAGGCGAAGGCCTTGCGGCGGGCGCGCAGCCAGCTGAGTCCCTGAGTGACGAAGGGGTGCACGGGGGGAGAGCAGCTAGGAATATATGTATAAACACTATGTGATATGGATAAGCCGAGTGTGGGGCGCGTCTGCTCAGCGGCTGCGTCGAGTGAAATCTGTCTGTGCTGGCCTGAAAGGCCGAGGCCCGAGCGCATTTGGGTTGGTTGGTCCATGGCTCGTCGAACCAAAAAACTTCACCTTGCACTGTAAATAAACGTTAAATCGGAATCGGATTGGAACTGCGTCCACTACTGAGTTCCCTACGCCTTAAGTTTACCTAATAAGTTTCTAAATGTGAGCAATTAAATAAATTATTAACATGCTAAGCAGAAATCACTAGTTTAGCCTAAAAATATATCTCACTAAACGCGGATTTGCTTGGATTTCCCATAGGGAAATCTGAAAAATCTCTTGACAAAAAGCTTCAATCTCTGCAAGTATCCAAAATGTAGTTAAAGCACCTGCTGGAGTTAATATATCAAATGCCTCAATTTTGTGGTAAAATTATGCTGGACCTTCCCCGAGCTGGGCCTAGTCCATAATGAAGTAGTTAAAATGTTGAGATTTTCATTGGACTATTGTTTTTCCAGCTCTTTTTGATTCTTGTATTCAATGGATTCAAGGTATACAATGGATTCTATATTTATAATTAAAAATTCTTAGCTCTTGTACTTTCTGAAATCTTTTATCCGGAAGAAGGGATAGACGAAGGAATAAACGGACGGACGTCGACTCGTCACACGATGTTCTTATTGAGGCCTTTAAACAAGTATACCTAGATTTGCTATTTTCAATGGGTTCAGGGTGTAAGCAAAGAGTAATATACAGTGGGCCCTCGGTTAACGAACTCAATTCGTTCCATCATCCTGTTCCCAGAAATTTAGCGTACCATAAATATTCTCAAATTTATTTTTGGTCGTTGTGCGAAAAATAGTTCGTTAAGCGCAACATTCCCTTATGCGAAATGGTCATTATCCGAGGCGCTCGCTAACCGAGGGTTCACTGTAGTTCCATTTAAGTAGTCACGCCCAGCTTATGGCCTGTGCTGAATAAAACTTCATCGCTTGCATTTTTAGTTGTATTTTTGTAAGTTGTTCTCTTTAGCATAATTTATTTTTATATACTTTTTCATTTAATTTGCTTTTATGTTCATAAAGTAACGTGTGTCTGCTTCTGTCTGTGTGTGTATGTTTGTGTGTGTGTGTGTGAGTGTGTATGTGAGTATTGTACTTAGATTTGATCTGCTTTCTCAACTGATGCCTTTTATTACTTTGAATGTATTACATTTACCTAACTTTTGTCATTTGTAAGCTGCTTTTAATTTCCAATTGGCTTACAAATTTAACATGGCTTGTAAAAATGCTTTCAGATTTGTTTTCTTTCTTTTTTTTTTTTTAAGTCAAACTGTAAATTTTGTGCTTGCTCATTTGGTATTGTTGTGTGTGTGTGTGTGTGTGTTGCTTATTGTTCTTTGTGTTGTTTCTGTGTCTGTTTGTATCTTAGTTATCTTTTTTTTTTTTTTTTTTTTTTTTTTTTCTTCATATTTAATATATAATAATTTTTTTGTTTCGCTTTTCTGTTTTGGTTTAACTATTTATAAAACATTTCACTTTTAGAATCTTAACAACGTTTTTTTTATTCTTGCTTACATTTTTTTTTTCTTAATAGCTGCGGCGTATTTTATATATATATATATATATATTATAAATATCTTTTTTTTTTTCTTTCTTTTTCATTTGTTTATATTTTTATTGTGCTACGCATAATTTACATGGATTTTAATTTTTTCCTTGCGATAGTTTCGCAATTTCATTTTGCGCTGCTTCCTTTTTCTCTATATATAGTATATATACATGTGTATATATGTATATATGTATATTACTTGATTTGTGTTTTTATTTTATTCTTTTATAACTATTAAAAAAAATTGGCTGTAGCTGACGCTTGAAACAAAATTGTATTTGCACGTGTTCTAATACTTTTCTGTATGTGTGTGTGTGTGAGTGTTTCTGCGTATGTGTGTGTGTATATATATTTAAACTATGCATAATTATCATAATTATTTCTGTTCTTATACCCTTGCAGATAGCATTCGAGCCCAATACAGGCAGTTTAATCTGGAACATTTGGAATCGGAACAATAATTGATATAAATATACAAAAAGAAAGAATGCAATGCATTTTGCAATTTACCAGATTTTCAATTATTGGAAAATAAAAGCAAACAAGTGCAGTTGAAGCACAATATGAAATTTAATGATGTTTTGTTTTTATTATGAAAATAGGTAGGAGATATATGTATATGCATATCAATTTGCGCGGAGCAGGTGGAAACGAAACATATTTGAGCTGGTTGCAATACACTTAAAACACATTCCATTATGTCAGTGATAGCTTCAAAATATGAGTTGGAACTAGCGGAATCGAAACAAATCATATTGTAAACGTAAATAAATTTAAGTATATTAATAAAAATCTTTTTTGGAACGTGTGGAATTGAAACAAGAATTTACATATGGGCATATCTGGAAGGATATTTGAAATTCGGCTCGCCGAAATTGATTCCTCTGGACTTTAATTTATTGAGCTTAATATTTGTTTCATTTTCGTTTTGTTTTGTTTTCTTGTGGAGCCTTTTGAATTGGAGAAATTAATAAAATTGTTATCAAAATTATCTCGGGGCGTAACTGGCTGGGAACTCTACATATACTATCACATACGCACTGTATGCATATATACACGATAATACATATGTATGTATGCATATATGTATGTCTATGTATAGTTGTTTTCTCGTTTATGAATGCCATTTCGAGCGCTGCGCATATGTATTTGTATTGACATTGTTCTCATTTATATGTAAGTGTGTACACATACATATACATGTAACTATGTATATATGTACATATATATATATATGTATATATTTTGTGTTGTTTTTTCTTTTGCTTTTATTCCAGTCTTCTTTATTAATGAATTTCTAAATCAAATTCGAAAATAGACAACGCAAATTGACAACTTTATTGGTAAGATTATTCTCTCATTGTTCTCTTTTATAAGTGTGTTTTCTGGTATTTTATTGTTAGCATTATGTATTTTTAGTGATAGTTTGGTTTTGGTTTTTGGTTTTTGGATTTTGGATTTGGGAAATTGTTATTTGATAGCAAAGCTCAGCTTGAAGGTTGCAGTATTAGATTTCATAATGATTATTATAAGTATATTTTATTAGTATCTTGTTGTTGTTGCTGCTGTAGTATTATAAATAGTATTATAATAAGGATTGCCTATTAAACTAAGATATATATATTTATGCGGCTGTTGCTGCTGGCTGAACTCTTATTACATACTTTAGGCCATAGACTAAACGCTTTCTCAGCTATGGAGAAGCATAGTTCAAGTATTTTATTTTAGTATTTTGTTTGGTTTCCTGTTGGTGTCTGTGTTATGTTTAAACTTAATTATTTTGGCAAGTTTAATTTCCTTTCCCGCTTTTCTTTGCTTTATATCTTTTATATATGTATGTTTTATATCACTTTTGTTGTGGCTGGCCTGGCCAAGCTTTAGCCCAGACAAACTCACTTGTTGTCTCGCTCCCACTCGCTGCATAGTGCTAACTCACTCGCGCTCATGCTCTAGCCTCTCGCTCTCGCTCTCTCGTTCTGTCTTTTTTTGTTTTCGTTTTTTTTTTTTTTACTACTTAGTAAGCCTTGTCTAGCATTAATTTATTTGGTAAAAAAAAAAAAAAAAAAAAAAAAAAAACATTTCTTGCATGACTTGAAGACGATATGTTTTTATTTTTGTTTGCAATTGGTTTACGTGTAATGTACTTTATCTCATTTCGATATTTATCTATATGTATATATATTATTAGTATTTATAATAATTTGTATGCATATTATATGTATATCATCATTGCTCATTGTTGTTGTTGCTGTTGCTGTGGTTGCCTCTCCTGCTGCTGCCTCTTCTTCTTCTTCATCATTTACTAATTAATTGGCTTGACTGCACTCGTTTCATCTCAGGAACCGAACCAAAGAATTCACAAAACGAATCACAAAATCAAAAATCAATATATATCTATATACATGCACATATATATGTAATATATAATTTACAAAAATACACCGAATGGGCGCCCAAACGAATACTTCAACTTTTGTTTCACGTATAACTAAATTTCGCAGATCGCATATTATATAATTGTTTTATTTTTATTTTTTCATTCATTTTTTTTTAAGGCCAAATTAAGTATACGTAATAATGTTCTCTATATATTCTTTGCAGTTTATCTCTATCGTATCGCGCTTCAAATTCATCTGCTCTCCTTCTCTGGCTCTCTTTCTTCCCTTCTCTGTCTCGCCGTCTTTAGCTTTAGAGATCAGCTCTGCATTTGCTTTATTTTTGTTTACTGTGTGCGTGTGGACGGTATTCAAAGCTGTAAATTGATTTGATTTATTTTACTCTTTTGCCTATTATCCTGGTTTCTTTTTGCGTTTTTACATATTTACATTGTTTTTTTTCTGTTTTTTTTTTTTTTTTTGTACAAATATTTTTTATTTTAATTTTTTCTTAATTACAACAAGCAGCAAATCAATAAAAACTTTGTTATTCAGTTCTTCAGTCGCAACATACTATATATATATATATATATGATATTTATATATATGCCTTGCGTATGTTTCAGTTTAGTTAAATTTGTTCTATTCGTTTGTTGTGAGATGTTTTTACCATGGTCCAGAGAGTATACATATATGTATATATATTATTTTTTTCATCTTTTGAGGTTTTGAGGTTTCAAGCAAAGCGCCTTTTTGGTATTTTTAGGGATAGTATTTTTTTATAAAGTTCCTCTTCTCATTCTCATTACAGTTATCTGTTTCAGGAAACGGTGTAGTTCATGGAAGCATACGAAGTAGATGTGTGAAGATCTCGAAAAATTTGAATTCAAATTAAGTATTTATATATATATAATATCTAATATTTTGCGTGTATATTGACTAGAATCATAAAGGTGCCACAAATTTCATACATATATACATATATATATATCAATATTTGTAAGTTTTTGACAAAAGTTGAAGTCGTTAGTTTTGAACGTGAAAATTATATATTAAGGATAGACGAATCGATATTGGAAAGGAAGATAAATTACATAAGACATTGAACTCATAAAATGAGACATTCCTTAGCTTTGTTTTTCATTGTTGTTTTGTTTTGCTTTCTTTTCTTTTGGTTAGACGAAATGCAGTTAGATAAGATCTATTATAGGTTCGTAAGTGTGTGAGACATAAAGGATATACATATGCATAGATACTGATAAGCGATTTATAATTTCTAATTGTGACCTAAATTTTTGGTTAAATTTATGCTAGAAGCAGTTTTTTTCTCAATTTTTTATAATTTTTTTTTTTTTAGATAAGTTGTTTTAATTTTTTTATTTATTTATTTATTTTTTTTTTGAGTGGGGAAGGCGATGTTTGAGTTGGGTCTGCTGGAAGATCGACGGCCTTATAATGCCGTTTTCTCTGGTATTGTTAAGGGTAGTGTGTGTGTGTGTGTGTTTGTATTTGTTGTTGTTGTGGTTGTTGTTGTGTAGCAGTTGTAGCTAAATTTAATTATTGTTTTTGTATCGTTAGCAGCTTTTATTTTTTGGTTGTAAATCTTTTATTTCTTGTATGTTGTTTTATTAGTATTTTTTTTTTTTTTTTTTTTCATTTACGTTTACACATATATATGGTTCAGCTTCAGCTCCGACTTACTTATTTACAAAATAGCAGTTATCGCATATACATATACACATTATGTATATATTTGTTTTAATGTATACATAGTTTTACTCATATATACATATATATCCTATATATATGTATAATTCTTTGCTTTTTTTTACTCATTTTAAACTTAACGGCAGTTTTGATGTTTTAGCATTTTCATGTGTGTATTAGTATGTGTGTAGGTATGTATGTGTGTGTGTGTGTGAAGTGTGTGTGTGTGTGTATTGAATGGCGAATTAGTTTCGACCACGTCATCCTTTTGTCCAGTTTCATTCATAAGAACTGCTGCCAATTGGGGCACTAACTAAATTATATGTACTATATGTTCTATAACCTGAACCCACTGAAAAGTTTTCATATTCTAATGTTTTTTTTTCTCCTGTGCTTTGTGTGTGCTGTCCTTAAGCGTTGCATTGCCTGTCCTGTTTGCATCAGCTCTTTCCGTGCTGTGCTCTCAAACGTTTTTATGTCTTCGCAAATGTTTCACAGAGGTATCGAAGACCTTATTTGTCAGACTGGTCACTGCTAGAGCTCTATTAGATGGAACTAAACACAAGCAAACTAATCTCAGAGTTCGGGCTGAAGACGTCGTCAAATTCATTCGCTCTTCATATATGTTGTTGTTTTCCTCTTCTTCTTCTTTATTTTTGCCATAGTTTCTGTTTCATTTGGTTTAGTTTTTACTAATATTTGACTAATATTTAATAATAGAGCATAATTTAAAGTTGAAAATAAAATTAGCAGATATTGTTTGTTTGTATGTATTGTTGCTTTGTTGTCTGTTTTGTTTGCTTTTGTTTTCGTTTCTCTTTATTATTATTTTTTTTTTTTTATTTATGTTTTTTTGTTTGTTTTGTTTTAAATTTTTTGTTTTTGTTTTTTAGCTAGCTTCTAAAGAAAGGAAGAAACTCCAATTAGATTAGACTACTAAGATAAATCTCTTTTTTTTTTTTTTTTTTTTTTTTTTTTTTGTTATTTTGCTTCCTCTGCATTCTCTTCATTTTGTTTTGTTTGCTTGTTTGACTATAACGATTGTTAGTTCATTAATTGCTAAATTTGAACATAGGTATAAGTATTTCATATATCTGTTTTGTGTTTGTGTGTGTGTGTGTGTTGGTGTTCGTTGAGCAGCTGTGTAAATTGTGGCTGCCGAATTTGAATTTATTAAAAAAAGACTAACGCTATTTCGACTTGTAGCTACTTTATCTTTATCAAGCCGCTGCACTAAATGTGCGTGCGTGTGTGTGTGTGTGTGTGTGTGTGTGTGTGTGTGTGTGTGTGTGTGTGTGTGTATGTGTGTGTGTGTGTATGTGTGTGTATGTGTGTTTAAGTGTAGTCTGTTCTACAATTTGCTGTTTAATTTACAACTACGCTGCTTATTATAATCATTATTATTATAATTATAATTATAATTATTATTATTACTTTAATATTTATTCATTAATAAAATTCTAAATTAGACTGCTTTTGATGACGTTTCTGGCATCCAACGTAACATTTCACTGCGCAAGTTTCGTCTGCTTTCCATTTGTTTGACTGTTTACAAGAAAATAAGATTAGCACAATGTAATAGATAAACAATTTGTTTATTGAAATAAATAATGTAAGCTGATCAAGTAAATGGGTACAAAAGCTTTGCATTGGGCATGGTTAGGAAAATTCTTAAGTTCCCTAGGAGATAAAGTAATTTAGACTGAGTATTTATTCTTATTTTCTACTATATTTTCAGATGCTAGTTACTTCATTTATTAAGTACAAAACAATTATGTATCTAATCTGAGTATGTGAAAAACAAGCTGAAAACTGTTTTTAAGATTTGATTGTGAGCCGAAATTGTTTGATAAATTCACCTTAATGATGAGCTTAAAGCTTTTTGGTTCAAAGCGTCACACTCTTCTGAATTTTTAGAGAGCTGCATAAGCTATAAATTTTAATCTGTATCATCTGTACCTCTACCACAATTTCCGCAATTTCAAGCTAGCTAATTTAATTTAATTTAATCTAATTTAATTAGGGATTCAACAATATCAATGTAAAATAAAAATCAAATGTGCTTAAAGCTTTTTATGCACCAAAAGCTCTCATATTAAAGAGCTGTTTATATTCGACGGACCCATTTGGCAACCCTATGTCTTTTGACAGCGACGAGCACAATACGCCGCACACTCTCAAGGAGGTCATTTGAGAGATATCATATTTTAAAAGTGATGTTAACAAACATACTTGAACCAAATTAAATGGGCAACTTTCTACGTCGAATATGGACAGCTCTATAGTTTTGAGATAATAATATAATTTCTAACATGTAGCTATAGTTGAATAAGCTTTAAGCTTTTAGTTAGTCATCTTGAACTTACAGTTTAGTCAGGTTAAGCTCGCTTCACAATGCAAAATAGATTAATGGAAGACAACAATAAAATTAGTTTAAATTTTTTTTTTTTTTTTTTTTTTTTTTTTTTTGTTCTGAGACCTATTGCACAGTGTTTAAAACCAAAACTTAGTCAAATTTCAAGAAGAAGATTTGTTTTGTACCGTTAAAGCTCTCCATACTGTTCTGAATCACACTGTTACTGAACCATGCTCCAATTAGTTATTAGCTCTACAAAGTCTCAACGAACTTTAAGAAGATTTGAGCTTTAGCTGAATAAGTTTAAAGCTTTTTGAAATCGGACCTGAGCTTGCTTTAACTATATGTTGCACTAGACTCTATAAGAGAAGTCCGAGCTTTAGGCTGTCTTAGTAAGTGAAGTAAAGATATAGGGTTAAAGCCCATACAGCTTTGCCATGAAGTTGTAAGAGAAAGAGAGTTCGCACTCACCTAGTAGTCAGACGTCGGTCTCAATACTGACGGCCATTGCGTTATTATGCCTTAACTGTAAGCTGTTAGTGCTCCTCAGGCCGTTCTGGCCGAGCTGCTGCTGCTGTCCCGGCTGGAGTCCCTGCTGCTGCTGCTGCAGTTGCAGCTGCAGCTGTTGCTTTTCAAACGATTGCTGCGTTCTCAGAAATGGCACCATGTGGCGGCCCGTATGATCAGTCAGACCTGGCGTGGTTGCATCAATGCCATCATCCAAATCCATAATGTCCGATGACGATTCGGAGAGTGAGGATTTTTTCAAATGTTGACCTAGTATCGGGAGTGTTTTTTTTTTTTTTTTTTTTTTTTTTTTGTGTAAGTGTATTTATCAGAGAGGCGCGTTCATTGGAAATGATATAGAAAAGGAATCGATTAGCATAGTTTTTATTCTTATAATACAAATGAGCGTAGTTTTTTCTTCAGTTTTTTTTCTATTTTTTTTTTAGTAGTTATATATATATGTACCTAGTGCACCAGGTAAATATGAACAACTTGTAACGTGGTTGAAATTTTGGCTCTGCATCTCCTCCTGATCCGTTTCGCGGTGATAGAAGTAATTGAAATTACTGACGATAACCGGTACCGGCAGTGCGATTGTCAGCACACCAGCGATCACGCACAAAGAGCCGACAATTTTGCCCCAGAAGCCGACGGGCCTATTTGGTTAATCATTTTTTTTTTTTTTTTTTTTTATATTTGCATTTTCATTTGCATTTTTATCATTTTTTTTCGTTTTTATTTTTGATTAATTTTCATAAGGCAATATTCAGGTATTCGATTTTTGGTATTTTGGTATTTTGTATATTTAAAGTTGGTATTTAAATATGCAAATTTGTTTTCGATTCGGTTCGGTATATATAATATATAGAGGGTTTTCGTCAGTCATCCATATGTGTATATATGCATCAGATTATGTATATATATACATATTTTTATATATTTTTATATTTTAACATTATTTGTTTAGTTTTTATTTTATGTTATATATAAATTTTTATTTTGTTGTTGTCGATTTGGTATGAAGAAGAACGTAGAAAAAGAACGCAGTGTGTAAATAAGGTAGTATATATTAATATATTGAGATATATAAAATGAGAAATAAAATAAAACACAAACAAACAGACAAAGAAAAGAATTGAAAACAAAAGTGAGATTGTAAGTTCGTTAGTTTAGAATATATCATCAGGATATCACTCAAGTTGAACACAAAGAACTGTTAGAAACGATATTCATATGTTGATAAGATTTCCAAAGGAAAATTTAGTACATCGAAACATATAGAAAAAGCCAAAAACAAAACTTGAGTGTATGTGTGTGTGTTTTCTTTTAACTTGAGGTATTTAAAGTAGTGTGTGTGTTGGTGGGTGTGTGTGTGTGGGTGAGTGATTATTGTATATATATTATTGTATATATATATATATATGAGTATATATATTTGGTATATATTGGTATATATTAGTATGTACACATCGAAAGCAAATTGCTGTTGTTAATTAAATTGCGCTTGGATTGTACCGCTTGCACGATATGGAACTCAAAAAGTTGGCTAGATATAGAGTTGGCTAACAAAAAATCGAAAGCGTATTGCCAAAATGGTAATAAACAAAATGTGCCGGCGTTTGGCGTCGTCGCTGTTAAACTTGACAAATACGGATAAAAATGAATAGATCTATATATATGTTATGTAGGCATATATATAGATTGACAGATAGAGAGGAAGAGATAGATATAGAAACAGAGAGAGAGAGAGAGAGAGAGTTAAACCAAAGCAAATCCGAACTGAACCGCGAAACGATTCAGTTCGAACCGGCGTCGACTTGTCGCGCTTGCAATCATCAATCAGTGCCACAGCAGGCGCGATCACTGATCAATCAATCACGCGCTCTTCCAGTTGTGTCTTCGGCAGAGGTTTGCGACGAACGCTTGCAGAAAAGAGAGTTAGTAATTGGCATGATAGAGACAGCTATAGAAGAGAGTCGGTTAGAGTGTATCGGTGTGTCTGTGTGTGTGATTGACTGCATGACTGATTGTTTGATCAATTTTCTTGTGTGCTCTGAACAAAAATCGTAGGTGCTCGAGTTGTGCCAATTAAGGAACGGGCAACCGAACAGACTCCAGAGCGCTGTTGCCGTTAACAGCGAGGCGCTGTTGCCGTTAACAGAGCCCGCTTTGCGCTCTGTTCGCCTTATGGGGGAAGGAATAGAGTTTGGTGGTAGTGAAGTTGTGAATGGGCTTTAGAGGGATAAGGTGTTTCTTTCGGTGATTGTAATTGTAGCAGCTGCTTCAAATAAGTATAAATAACTATATATATATATGTATATAATTAGTTAAATATATATATAGATAAGCGATTTTAAGTAGTTAGGCAAGTAAGTGGAAAATGCTCATTCGAGAAGAGTGGACTAGAGAAGAGTAGATTAGAGTATTTGGTAAAAGGTAAGCGCATAAAATCATGTCACAAATCAAAGCATTAGATTTAAGTGTATTAAATGGAGTAAGGCAACAAAATCGATAAGTGTAGCATTTGTCAATGTGGCAGTGTGTATGTGTGTGTGTAGCTGATGGTTAGTTAGTATCATATGCAAATGTGCTAAGCGTGCGCCAAGTGTTGTTAGTGTTGTTTGTTGTAGTTGAAGTTAACTTTAGAGAGCGGTTGGTATTTTTATTATATTTGATTTTATTTTTCTGTTTTTTCTTATCAGTTTTTCATTTCGACTTCTTTGCTTTCGTTTTGTTTGATTGTTTTTTTTTTCTTGCTATTTATTTTAGCTTTTTTGCATTTTGCATTGATTTGCTCAGTTTGGTTTTGGTTATTGTGAGTTGTCGATTGCTCGACTCTAATTATTTGATTATAGCAACTTAACGCACATGCACCGGATCGGGAAGCACAGGGAAACGGGACTTAGGAGCAGAAGCAGGAGCCGTTGAAAGCCTCAGCCATAGCCAGATAAGCCAGAGCAGTCGCTTTTCTTTCACTGTTCATTCGTTTTTCATATAAATGTTTGTTCATTAGCAAGCTGTTACTGCTGTTACTGTAATTGCGCATAATGATGTTAGCTCTTGCTATTACTTTTACTGTTACAGTTACTTGAACTGTTACTGTTACTTGTACTGTTACTGTTACTGTTGCTGTTGCTGTAGCTGTAGCTGGATTTTGATGTCGGCGGGTGCAGGCAGCGCTAAAGCGTTTTTTTTGTACAATTATATTTGAAGAAAACGAAATGAAAATAAAAAATAAAATAAAATCGAAACCAAAATTCAAATATTAAACGAACCAAAATTAAAAAGCATTATAAGAATATTTATAGATATATTAAAAAGAGTAGCTTTACATATTTATATATATATATAGAGTACATATAGGTTGGGTATATTAGGTAAAATCGAAGGCTGGCCAAGTTAGCGTTTGACATAAGCTCAGCGCACGAACAATTGTATATCATACGGATCTATATATACTTGTGCATATGTATTCATATCTACATACATACATAAGCACACATACATATATATGTATATGTATATATATACATCGCATGATGTTCAAATCAAAGTTGAGTGCGCGTTTCCATAGTGCATTGCGTATGATGGGAACCAAAAGCCAATTCAAGTTTACGAATAGGATAACTATTTTTACGATAACGATAACGACGATAATAACGGTTACAAGACACCAGCTGGGCACACTTTTTTTGTTTTATTTTCTTTTACACAACGACCATGTGGGCACACTCACCATTTGTGGAGCGGGGGGCGTGGCATCTTAGCTCAACATTCAGTTATTGCAGCATGTGTCGCATCAATGGATGGGTTTTCAAGGGTGGGGTAGGGGCTACATGTCATATATCACATATATATCATGTAAAGTATATCGTATATATATGTATATATGTATATCTTCCATTACTCAACACTACTTTTGATGGTGGAGGACTGACTGGTCTAGACTATGGTTGCAACTAGTGGGCGGGCATGTCGAGACTTGTACAATGGGCATTGTTGGATGTAAAGTCAACTGTCATGATTGACTGGCTGATTGATGGTTGACTGATTGACTGATTGTTTGATCAATGCTACAATATTAAAGACTTAATGACATCTTAAGACTAACGGCCGAGGCAGATCTGGGCTCCCCTCGAGCCAATGAGCTCTCCCGATCGAGCCCAACTCTGCGCTCGATCCTCTTACTAACCGTGGCAAACCCAAACTGTAAAACCCATGCAGTCGAAAGGAGTTACCATACATACATATATATGTGTGCACATACATATATGGCAACGAATAAATACCAATATGAAGAGTATTATAAAAAGATCTACTAACAATAGCTACATGTTACTTAATTAGTAATAGGAAACAAATATATACTTAGCGATTAACTAATTTACAAATTGGAATGAGCTTCGCTTGGACTGTGAGACTTCGATCTATCTTTTCTATACATATATATATTTTAATTTTTATCGTGTGTTGGATTTTTTTTTTTTTTTTTAATTTATTTTTATTGAATAACGATTATAAAACATTTCATTTTTAATCTTAACAACATTTCTTTTTTTTTTGCTCTTTGCTTTTAATTGTTTTATGCTTGCGTTTTCTTTTTTTCTTTTAATTGTAGTCACAATATCTTATGATGTGTAATACTAATTATTTTTCTTTTCCGTTTCTTATTTATTTTTGGTTTTTTATTTTTATTTTGGGCTTTTGTTGTTTTCATATTTTTTGTTGCTGCATTTTCATAACTGTTAGTTCAATGCTGAATATTAATTGTTTTCTTATTTTCTTTGGTATTTTTATTGGTATTGCTTTTGACTATTGTTCAGATTGATGCTGTGGGCTGGCCGGGAATGTGAATGGGTGTGAATGAATGCTTAACAGAAAGAAAAAATTACTATTTCTAATTGCTTGCAGTTAATCTGGAATTTTGTTATCTGGTATTAAAGTATTACTGGCTGCAGTGAGCCTTATTGCTGGTATCATTTGTTGCTGTTGCTGTGGCTGTTGCGCGGCTAACTAAAACTAAGACTAGAACTAAACTAGTTTAATGCTGTACTAATGCTCGTTATACAAAATGAATATACGCATACCTATACTCATATCCAGGTATTCATGTTATGCAAGGCAAAGCAAATGCACAAACTAAATTATGTATAAATGATATTTTGGCAAAAGCTTTTTGCGGCTTTGAATGAACGAGGCAGCAAAATAATGGTCGAAAAAAAAAAAATGTTTTTCATTTTTATTTATTGAATTTATTTCGTTTTATATATTTTATAATATTCTTTTTTATTTTTAATATTTTTAAATCTCTATTTGCAGTCTTTGTCCTTAATAGAAATTTTGTTAGGTTTCGTTTGTTTTTTTTTTTTTTTTTTTTTTGTTTTTTATTTTTTTTTTATCATAATATTTTATTTTAAATTTTTCTTTTGTTTTTGTTTGATAGCATTTTATAAATCTTGAAGCATGGAGAAGAGTGAAAGTTGTGCCATGTTGTTGTATTTGATGTTGTTGGTGTTATTGTTGTTGTACGTACTTCTTATTAGTTCTTTTTGATTTAGTATTTTAGTATTTTTAGTAAACATGCATGTAAGTAGGTATATAAGTATTGTTTGTATTTTTATAGTTCAATACATATTTTTACGTTCAATTGTTTTTA